CTATTGCATGACAGAAAGGAACTAGAGCACTTTTAAATGGCAAAAAGCACAAAATTTCACAAAGGTATTTGATATTGAATTAGTGTCAAAGTGCAAGAAGAATGATGGCCGATGGTAGATATGCCAAATTGTACAGGTCAAAGATAAACAGGTGTTCAACCAGGTAGAGAAAGCTAAACTCACCTATAGGTGTCTTTCCTCAGTTCTGGCTTCTTTCATTTTCTGTATTCAAACAAAGCATAACTGGATTAGAATACTGTTCATTTCAGGGCAGGCTCTACAGATTCACAGGATGAAATGAACTAAAAGAAAACAATGGAACCCTTAGGCTAATTTCAAAAACTCTTACTTATATTCTTCAATAATATAGATCAACTGAGCAAATTAAATTGCTGTCAAATATATACAAACATAATGTGATTATCCACAGGCAGTAATTTGATATTCCCTAAGTAACTGTACTTTTTAAAATATTTTATTCTTATTCCATCTCTTACCTAGGAGTGAATTTATAAAATGCAGAGGCTGTGCACTCCCTGAATTCCCCAGCACCAATCGCCATCATCTAAAACTAGCAGTGGTTAAATGAGCATGTGTTGGTATTGACAATGACGGAACACCTTTCATTGCAGGTGTATTTCATTGCAGAAGTTATCTCTGGTAGCCCAGGCAACAAAGGAAAGGCAAGGTCAAGGGGATGGGGTTGACATCTTGAGCGGCTAAATTCAGGTTTCAAAGATCATCATCATCAAGCTCTCTCTGTTTCCCATACTCCCTCCCATCTCTCTCCTTCCTCCATGCCTTTCCTCTAGGTTTGCTTGCTCTAAGTTTTCCATGTGGTGGCAAATACAGTGATCAGCACCTAGCAGTTCCAAATATGAGAGATTTACTCTCTCATTCCAACACCCTCATTAAACCCCCAAATCAACCCTCCTGCCTGGGTCTTCTTCATGTTCATTGTCATGGTAGATGAGCCAGATCGATGCCTATCCCAGACTACATACTATGGGTGACAGGCTATTTCCAAAAAGACAGCTGAACGAAAGATAAATAATAGATACCCACTGCATGGCTTTAGCCAACAAAGGTGAAAAAAGAAGTATCGTCAGCACAAGTATGAATAAAGCATTGGAATGATTGGGCATGACGTTTATTTATAATAAAACCAGGATGGCGGCCGGACACGGTGGCTCATGCCTGTAATCCCAGCGCTTTTTGGGAGGCCGAGGCAGGTGGATCACCTGAGGTCGGGAGATAGAGACCAGCCTGACCAACAAGGAGAAACTTCGTCTCTTAAAAATACACCAGTTAGCTGAGCATGGTGGCACATACCTGTAATCCCAGCTACTCAGGAGGCTGAGGCAGGAGAATCCCATGAACCCAGGAGATGGAGGTTGCAGTCAGCTGAGATCATGCCACTGCACTCCAGCCTGGGCAACAAGAGCAAAACTCCATGGAAAAAAAAAAAAAAAAAAAACAGTATGTCATAAGACCCGAAAATGGGACTACAGGACATGATCAACTCCCACGGGACATGGCAGCAGAGACCTAGAAAGTGGAAATGAAAAACGTAGCTGCTATGCTCAGGAATCTCAGGAGAGAAGGAGATTGCAGAAAGAGAAAGGCTCTTTACAGTAGATGAGAAATGAACACAGGTCTGGTGCTGGAAAACAAAACAAAACAAAATGCAAAATGCAAAATGCATGGATAAAGATGATAATCTAGAGAGAACCACATTCCACTTATCAGCATATGGGGCCAAGAGCATTTAGGAGGCATCCCAAACTCCCCAGGAGACCAATAGTAACAGTAGTTATTAACCTCAGACACAGGGTGTCGACCTGACTAGACACATCTGTCCTTGCGAACAGACACACTCACAGGTGGAATGGGGAGATAACAGGGCAAACACCTTCAGAACTGTTGCAAACTGGGAACTGCAAGGAAGGAGAGCAGCAGACAGATCTTCTGTACGTGCATCTTGGAAGAAACCCTGAATGTAATGGGGTGCTACAAACAGTGTTGTAACACTTCTCAAACCCAGACATCACTCAGTGAGGGAGAATGAGAGCTGAGTGTAAGCTGACACCTAAAAAAAAAAAAAAAAGTAAAAGAGAAAAGTCTCATAAATTTCCTATAATGAAAATTAGTGCAATGTAGGAGATGTCAGCTATGGAAAAAGAATGATAGATTATACAGACTGTTTTGTATTATTCCTCTCTGCAATTGAGTATTATATTAGAATATTTAGACTGTTTCAATTTTTTTATTTCAAAGAGCACTGAAGTGAACATGTGTACATGTATCTATATGTGCATGTGTGAGTATGTTTATGTCTAACAGTAAAGGTATTATGTGTAGACTTAGAGTCAGACAGCTCCTGAGATCATGGATTTTGGCATTTTTGACAGAAACTGCAAAATTGCCTTTCAAATGACCGATTTATACAGAAACCCCAAGCCCATGAAAATGGATCACTTTTGTCATAGCATTGTGAATGCTGAATGTATCGTATCATTCGCATCTTTGGCATTGTTTCAGGTGACAGAGTATTTCATTAATTTTTAAATGCACTTCAATTCCACCTTCAGGAGGTGTATGATGATTTTTAACCAGGTAGGAGGGGCTAGTTGTATAGGACACCTGGAAAGAGCTGGTGGAGAGGCAGCACAGCCTCACAGACACGGAGGCTGTGGGTTCAGATTGTCTGGGTGGAGCTCTTTAAGTCCCCCAAACATCCCCTTGTGAACTCAATTCCTTGCACAGATTATTTAAATGTGTCTTCCTTTCCTGTAAAATAAGGTTAAGTATTAAATGAGATAATACACTGGGCACGGTAGCTCACACCTGTAATCCCAGTACTTTGGGAGGCCAAGACAGGAGGGATAACTTGAGGCCAGGGATTCAAGACTAGCCTGGCCAACACAGTAAAACCCCATCTCTATCAAAAATACAAAAATTAGCCAGGCAGGGTGACACATGCCTGTAATTCCAGATACTAGGGAGGCTGAAGCATGAGAATCACTTGAACCTGGGAAGCAGAGGTTGCAGGTAGCCAAGAGGGCACCACTGCACTCCAGTCTGGGTGAGACTGTGCCTCAAAAATTATAATAAATAAGACAATTCATACGATGGATTTGTACAACATGTACCACATAGTAAATGTCCAATAAATAATTTTTACTAACATTTATTATTACACTAAATTTAGCTCTGAGCATGCTGGCAGCCAAAGCAAAGAGAGTTCATTGTTCAATAAAAAGAATAAGATAGGCCAGGCTGGGTGGCTCACGCCTGCAATCCCGGTTCTTTGGGAGGCTGAGGTGGGCAGATCATAAGATCAGGAGATTGAGACCATCCTGAACAACGTGGTGAAACTCTGTCTGTACTAAAAATGCAAAAATTAGCTGGGTGTGGTAGCATGCGCCTATATGTTCGGCTACTCAGGAGGCTGAGGCAGGAGAATGGCTTGAACCCGGGAGGTGGAGATTGCAGTGAGCAGAGATGGCACCACTGCACTCCAGCCTGGCAACAAAGCGAGACTTCATCTCGAAACACAAAAAGAATAAGATAATAATCACAGATACTTACATAGCATTTACTATATCAGCCCCTGTTCTAAGTATTTATATATGTTAAAACATTTTGATGAGAAACAAAGCTTCTTTGGTCACTTATTATTGAATTCTGGAAAGAATTTATCAACAATTGATTTTATTATGCAGAAAATTATCATTCCTATTTGTCAATGAGGAAACTTAGATTCAAAGAAGTTAACTATCTAAGATCTCACCTCCAGTAAATGGTCAAACAGATTTGAACCTCTAAGCCTTTTGACCCCATAGTCCTCCTTGTACATCAGAAGGCCTTTCCAGAAGGCTGTGTGTGAATCTGACTACCGCTTTGAGAGACACTCTGAGAAAACTCTGACATTCAATATCTTAAGGCTTGATTTAGGACTCCTGCAATGCACATGGATATATGTGTTTATCTGTAAGAGTTTATAGTTGAAGACTTTTTTTAACAAAGAGTGTAAATGCAATAGAAGGGTACACAATAGATTTCTGCTGGGATGATCAAACTGAATTCATGGAATGAAAGTGATTGAGGAACGATTTGCTGGATCTAGTCTACAGTGGCTGGCGCTGTGTCAACCCCTGAGCCAGTTGTGTCCTGCCCTGGAGGTTCTGAGAGAATGGTACAGGTCGCCACCAAGGCCAGCAGGGACACCAAGGGGTTTTTACTGGCCACACCTTAATTGTAATGGTTCTTAGTGGTTCATACACTCTAGTAACAAGTGTTTATCTCAATACTAGAAATACTTAAAACTGGTTTGGTCCATTCAAAACATTCTGCTAAAAGTTCTTCTGCACGTTATCAAGCAGAAGATTGCTGCCTGGGAGATAGTCGTGTTACCAGTCCTTACAGGGACTGATATCTCACTTTTTCAATCCTGTCTCAAATAGATAACATAATATGAATGGGTTTCCATTGGTTTTATCCCTTCTCCAGGTTGGCATTGTTCATTTTAGTGAAGCTTAAATTGCGGGTATCACCTTAAAGTTGTATATTTCTGAAACCTCAGATGGGTAGATGCCCAGATGGATAAAATGCAAATCAAGTCATCAAGTTATCATGATGATAAAGCTGTCTGGATAATTGTAATATAAATGTCTGATATTTTTAACCTTTACAAAATAAGGCAAGTAAAGGTAATTTTGTTTGGTAACGGAATTACATGGAATCTATTTAGAAATGTAGGGAAAAGTACAATATTCAGTGCATGCCACCAGCTATATAAGGCTGTCTCAAACAAATCAATCTCTGTCTGCCCTAGACTCCACTCACTTAAGAGAATGAACTTGATAACATTTGGGTTCATAGAGATTCAGCATCCTGTAATAGACCTCTCATGTCTTTTAACGTACGCAATGCAAAGAGCAAACGAAACAAGGCAGCATTTTTTCTAACTCCGTCTTTTCTCTCTTTTTTTCCCCCAGACTATGTCAGAGGGTCACAATGACCTTGCACAATAACAGTTCCACCTCGCCTTTGTTTCCAAACATCAGCTCTTCCTGGATACACAGCCCCTCCGATGCAGGGCTGCCCCCGGGAACCGCCACTCATTTCGGCAGCTACAATGTTTCTCGAGCAGCTGGGAATTTCTCCTCTCCTGACGATACCACCGATGACCCTCTGGGAGGTCACACAGTCTGGCAGGTGGTCTTCATTGCTTTCTTAACGGGCATCCTGGCCTTGGTGACCATCATCGGCAACATCCTGGTCATTGTGTCATTTAAGGTCAACAAGCAGCTGAAGACTGTCAACAACTACTTCCTCTTAAGCCTGGCCTGTGCCGATCTGATTATTGGAGTCATTTCCATGAATCTGTTTACGACCTACATCATCATGAATCGCTGGGCTTTAGGGAACTTGGCCTGTGACCTCTGGCTTGCCATTGACTACGTGGCCAGCAATGCCTCTGTTATGAATCTCCTGGTCATTAGCTTTGACAGATACTTTTCCATCACGAGGCCGCTCACCTACCGAGCCAAACGAACAACAAAGAGAGCTGGTGTGATGATCGGTCTGGCTTGGGTCATCTCCTTTGTCCTTTGGGCTCCTGCCATCTTGTTCTGGCAATACTTTGTTGGAAAGAGAACTGTGCCACCAGGAGAGTGTTTCATTCAGTTCCTCAGTGAGCCCACCATTACTTTTGGCACAGCCATTGCTGCTTTTTATATGCCTGTCACCATTATGACTATTTTATACTGGAGAATCTATAAGGAAACTGAAAAGCGTACCAAAGAGCTTGCTGGGCTGCAAGCCTCTGGGACAGAGGCAGAGACAGAAAACTTTGTCCACCCCACAGGCAGCTCTCGAAGCTGCAGCAGTTATGAGCTTCAACAGCAAAGCATGAAACGCTCCAACAGGAGGAAGTATGGCCGCTGCCACTTCTGGTTCACAACCAAGAGCTGGAAACCCAGCTCCGAGCAGATGGACCAAGACCACAGCAGCAGCGACAGCTGGAACAACAACGATGCTGCTGCCTCCCTGGAGAACTCCGCCTCCTCCGACGAGGAGGACATTGGCTCCGAGACGAGAGCCATCTACTCCATCGTGCTCAAGCTTCCGGGTCACAGCACCATCCTCAACTCCACCAAGTTACCCTCATCGGACAACCTGCAGGTGCCTGAGGAGGAGCTGGGGATGGTGGACTTGGAGAGGAAAGCCAGCAAGCTACAGACCCAGAAGAGCGTGGACGATGGAGGCAGTTTTCCAAAAAGCTTCTCCAAGCTTCCCATTCAGTTAGAGTCAGCCGTGGACGTAGCCAAGACTTCCGACGTCAACGCCTCGGTGGGTAAGACCACGGCCACTCTACCTCTGTCCTTCAAAGAAGCCACTCTGGCCAAGAGGTTTGCTCTGAAGACCAGAAGTCAGATCACTAAGCGGAAAAGGATGTCCCTCGTCAAGGAGAAGAAAGCAGCCCAGACCCTCAGTGCGATCTTGCTTGCCTTCATCATCACGTGGACCCCGTACAATATCATGGTTCTGGTGAACACCTTTTGTGACAGCTGCATACCCAAAACCTTTTGGAATCTGGGCTACTGGCTGTGCTACATCAACAGCACCGTGAACCCCGTGTGCTATGCCCTGTGCAACAAAACATTCAGAACCACGTTCAAGATGCTGCTCCTGTGCCAGTGTGACAAAAAGAAGAGGCGCAAACAGCAGTACCAGCAGAGACAGTCAGTCATTTTCCACAAGCGCGCGCCTGAGCAGGCCTTGTAGAGTGAGGTTTTATCAATAGCGGTGACAAAACGCACACATCAGCCCACAGACCTTAGGAGGAGAAAGGTGAGGGTGGGGATGATTTCTGGTGACGATAAAGTGGTGTTATCACCCAGATGTGACAGAAGCTGCCTGTTTACGGATCCATTGAATAAACCCATTTTAATAGAAAAAAATACCAATTCAGCAAAAAACAAAAACACGACTGAACATAAAGAAATTTGTTCTGAAATAGACTTCACGTTTTTTTTCTTAAAGAGGAGAAAAAATATTGCTTCACAGCAATTATATACCCAAATCGATTTGCCTGGGTCTTTTAATTCCCATTAGCTTTGGAATCTCAGATGAGCATAGCTGGCCCAGTTCCCACATTCTTCCCAAGGATCCCAAAAGTGGGAATCCAGACCCCACGTGGAACACTGCAGGCTAACGAATCTGTGGTTCCAAAATTATTTCATATGTTGCAAAGCTGAATCTTCTTGTCCCAATAGAGCTTTCTGTCTTTTCTTTGGTGTGTCGTTAAACTCTATTTGTGGACTTGATTCTTGATTCTTGCAGAGTACTGTTTTGTGCAGTTCAAGTTTTGTACAAATAAAAATACTTAAGTATATATATGTGTGAGTTCTGCACGCACACACATAGTGTATATAATATAATGGGAAACACTGAACTGGCAAATTCTTCCTGCAATGTACACTTTCAGTACTTTGGTAACTGAGGTTCTCTAGGATCCCAATGCAGCATAAACGTGAAATCAGCCCAGTATAACATTTTTGAAACTGGGGCTGTTTCCCACAGAGAGCGGCCAGGCCTTCCCAGCAGGTCTGTGCAGTGTGGACGGGCTCCTGAGTCCGCTGAGCACCGCGGCTTCACCGGGCTCGGTGTTAAGCAATCTCCTTTGTTGATGCCTCAACAGAGCTAAATCGGGGCCCCCTGAGCTCAAAGAACGAACCACATCCACACGTTTGAATTTAATCATCTAAATCTGAATGTTTCAAAACAAAATTTCTGCTATCTAAACTGCTTGAAACTCAATAATAGTGTCACGTTTGAATGTCACACACAGCAATATATATATAGGCCATATATATATATATATATGGCAAAGTGAAAGTGAAAAAACAGAAACCGTGGTAAGAGAGAATGAGGGAGAACAGTGTGTTTGATTCTTGCTGAACGGCACCTTCTAAAGAAAATAGGGCTTGCACCTTTGTTGCTCAGCTGTGGCCAGTGCTTTCTGGTGTTCATCGTGTAAACTTCACCCAGGAATAGGTGAGGTTTAGGAAGTTACATGTCCTCTGAAGAGAGAATTACATTCGGAAAAGAAATGCTTCAAATGCATTCTCCTTCAAATTGACCAAAATGTTGACTGTTTTATTTGGGGAGGGGATGGGGTGCTGCCATCATTGTCCTTGTTGCTGCTGTGGTTGTTGGGGTTTCTTTTCCTTTTGCCGGGGCTGTTTGGGGAGGGGGAGGGGAGGGAGGGGAGGGGAGGGAGGGGAGGGCGGTGGAGATATTCCCTTTGTACAGGGCATTCGTGCTGTGAACCCAGAGCTGGGTAGAAGCTGCTTTTGTATTCAGTGTGAGGTGGTGTTTACAGGCGACTTTGACCACAGTGGATGTGTACTCAGTGGTGTCTGTGTATCTGAACTATTTAATTTCGTGTTATGTTTATATGCAGAAATATTTATGGATACTACACCAAGTGTTTATTTAATGTTGATAAATATTACTCTTCCGTCTTCAGTCCTGGTGTCCTTTGAAAGTGATTCTTTAAAGTCCACTTGAGCAATGAATAGAATACATTGAGTTTTCCTGTGGCTAAGAAGAAGCAGCATGTCATCCTGTTAGCATCGCCAGGTACCTAACACTTTCTAGGTAATAAAAAGTCACCTGTCACTTCAACATAAATGTTTAAAATCACTCTTTAGTTAAATCTGATGGGAACTGAACAAAGCAACCCTCACCATTGTGTCTGAAATTATTTTACACAGGGGAAAAAAACAATCGGCATAATTGTAAGAATGATTTTTTGGGGCCCATATTCAACCAAAGAACAAGAAAAAAAAGACAATTTTCTAACATGTACAGCAAACTGCAGAATGTCATATTATCCACCTGTGAAACGTCTAGTAAGCAATTGCACCTGTATTTTATTACTCAAGTTGGCCTGGCACTAGGAAATATGTGAATGCTTATTCAGGTGTCCCAGCACTTCAGCACTTCCCATCATTTTGGAAACTCCTATCTTGCCTCCCTCCCAAAAGGACTGTTTCTTTTATTAAAATATATATACATATAGAATTAAATTTGAGAAAAGGAGAAACCCTGAAATTTATCAGAACTTTGAGAGTCAATTACCGTCTCCTTAAACATGATTATTTCCTTATCCTTGTCCTTTTGTGACGCTAATAATGGCAGAAAAGGAACAAATAGAAGATTCTAGGTCTCCTTTTTTGTTTTGCTGGTTTTATTATAGAATTGTTTTTAAACCTCTTATGGATGAAAGCTGCATTTAAATCCCGTCTACTGACTTTATAGAAAGGTATGTCCATTTCGTGGGTCATTTTCGGAGAAAGAAAACAAGTAAAAGAGATTCTTTTGAATATGAAGAATTTAAAAGTATAATTGAAGATGTAGTGAGTGTTTATAATTGGACCTCAGTTACACATGCATTTCTCAAAACCTTTGTCATTAGAGGAGGTATTCAGCATTTACATATGATCAAAATGTCTTCATCTCAAACTGGGAATCGGAATTATTTCATGCCATATGCATGAAGCTTGCAGACATTTCAAGATTAGCCACTTTAATTGAAAGACGAAAATGATCAAACCTAAAATAAACTACACATGGGAGAACCTCTTTCTCCTCTTTCTCTCTCTCTGCCTCTCTCTCTTTCTCCCTCTCCTTCCTTCTCTCTCTCTCTCTCTCTCACAAGCACACACACACATTCCCCCTTCTCCAGGCATTGCCCGATGGTTAAGAGAAGTGAGCTCTCTCTGGCCCCCTGGTTCCCTCAGCTCTGCCCTTCTTTGCCCATCAGCTCCCTGTGGCCTCTATCACAGTTCTCTCTATTCTTCTAATCCCCCTTTGTCTCTTAAACCCAGCCTTGACTCTCTACGTGTTTTTCATTTATCTTTACCCTTCAGTGTACAATCGTTGTAGATTCTGACGGAATGAAAGCAAAAACAAAAAGCCTAAGTGTTGGAGTCTGCAGTGGCTGAAGATCTAGAAAGCATATCAGCTTCCTCTGTCAGACTTCCCGTGTTGCCCATGGCCAGAGCTCATGGCTCTGCAGAGCATGGGGAGCCCCTTTCCGTATCGAGAGGGAAGCTGGAGTGCAGAGCTCTGCTGCCAAGTTGGCTGTTTCAGCCCCGACTCAGGGAGGAAAGAAGGATGCCAAGGCTCTGCAACAGCAGAGAAGCCTAATACTGGAGTGACACAGAGAAGGATTCCAGGGATCCGTCAGGGTGTGCTGTACTTATCTGAGTAGAGATGATTCAAAGATGGGGACCTATTCCAGGAAATTGCACAGTCTTCCCCTGGGAGCTTCAGAGGACAGGGGAAGGTAGCGCAGTATAGTCAAAGCAGCATTGAATTTAGGATGAGGAACGCTGAGTTCCTGGCCTAGTTTGGTCACTGCTTAGTTACATGTCCTTGGGCATGCTTGTCACTTAACCTAAACTTTCTGGGTTTTCTCCTCATTGCTCAAACTAAGCAACACCACCAAAGCTTCTTTAATCTGCCTTCTGATGGCAAATCGGTCCAAACTGAGGTCAGTAACTACCGTGATCAAAGTAAAATGGTCTATTGGATGAATGCTTGAAATTTTCAGATTTTATATTCTTTAAGGTTATTTACTTACTATAGTTCAACACCGCAAAATCTAAGGAAGCCTTGAAATTTTTTGGTAAACCCAGAGTTGTATGGTTTCAAATACTACTCCAACCCAGTGCCTGAGGTCTGGCAACTTTACAAAATACAGCTTCTGGGTAGCAGGTGTGTGCTTTGGTTTTACAATAGCATTTCTCATAATGGGACTGAAACTGCATAGAATACAACACTCCGAAGTTACTTTTTAACCTAAACGACCCTACTTCTAGCACATCCTCTGAAAGAATATTTTGCTCCCATGCTACGGGCAACGAACTTATTTAAACAGTATGAACTCCAGCCCTTAATAGGTTCAGGGACAATCTGACTACTTCCTTTCTACAGACTTCAGTTACACTCTCTTTTTCTCTTTCCCTGACTTTAAATATTCAGCCTCTCCCGGCATTAATGTTGTGTGAGTCAGTACTCAGACCTAAGAGGAAGAGTTCTAGAATGGTAACCCAGTGCTCCTTAGTACTGGAGAATTTCATTTTCTTTTTCTGGCTTTAGCGTTCATGTCTGGGAAAGGAGGCACATGATAAGATAATAAAAACGGATAAAGAAGATCTAGTTCATAAAATGACTATACTCCACATAAGTTTGTAACTGCACAATGTTTTGTTGTATGGCTCAAAAAATGAGCAAGTGTTAGTATTAATAGGCATGCATTACATTCACTGCATCACGCACAGATGGGCAGTGCTTTTAGGCATATGGAAATCATCCAAATGTGTAGCTAGAACATTAGGCTTCTGTTGGTTCTGGTAGAGCCACAGAGACTCACACAGAACTCTGGTGAGACTCACACATACAACTCTGGTCTGGGCTGAGACCACCCCTCAAAAAATCATCTAGAGAACCCAAAAAGGCTCACGTCTCAGTTGCATTTTACATAACAGGTAAAGGGGCCATATTTTCCATGACAAAGACGTGTTAGTAAAATTCCCTCACCCAAATTATAATCCAGTAATCCTATCTTAAACCAAAAAGATTATCCCCAGAATGTAAAAGCTTACTACTGTTCTTTCTTGAAATCCAAAATGCTTAGCAGTTCTGCATTTCACATACAAAACTCATAACTATTTTTGTCCTGTATTCTGTGAGTTCCTTGATGATAGAAATTGGGTCTTATTCATCACTTTCATCCCTCTGTATCCTGTGGCTCACACAGAATCTGGTAAATTGCATATATTCAATAAATGTTGTTGAATATCTAATAACCTTATTAATTAATGTAACATATTATCAAAATTTTGTGTACATCAATGTCCCATGCTGCTACTGTAGTCAGGAGTTATTTGGCTGGGAAATGCAAAGTGTTCACAAATAAGGTTATCTAATAAAACATCCCTGAGCAATAAGGAGAAATATTAAATAGACTTGAGTTGTAAACAAATAATTTAGAGTCCAAAAAGGAAAAAGAAAATTAACTCTGTCTTTTTATCCCTAGTTCTAGATACTGGATTTGTTCTAGATACTGGATTTGTTTGATACTAGTTATTGGATTTGTTGACCAATCCAGTAAAGTCAGAAACTTTACCGGATTGTACAACAAAGATCGTAAACTTTTGATCGTATAAAAGAGTAAAAATTCATTGAAAGGATAATTCTTTTGAAACAGGCTTCTTGGTTGCTTGCTGTAGCAAGAGAAGCATCTGGAGAACGTGGAGAGTTCATAAATATAGTTTTCTGTACAAGTGAAGATCTGTAGTTTGGCTTACAAATCCTTGCATGTAGTTTTGCTTGCTGTGGAAAGTGATTAGGAGAGAATCCTTTATCCTGTTCTGCAAGCAATCAAACACATGCTCTCCCTTCCATCCATTCCTCGTCTGGTACCCGGGCATTTCCAGCCTCCTCCATATAACACTTCAGACTTCCTTTGGGCATCGCTTAGAGCTATATGATGGCCACAGTTTGGGCAAGGTCCTTCTTTCTTTAAATATAGGAATTGTTACCAAGTTTGGTGCAGGCTTGAGGAATAATTACATTAAAATGGGCTTCCACGTTGGTGAATCAGCATGCTAATTTCTCTTGGCGGGAAGCTCTCAGGGAAATGTCTATGAATCATTTAAAGATGCTCTCTGGTGGATAGAGAAACCACAGTCCAAACCAGATGGGTGTATATTTGCTTTGTAAGCAAAAGGCATGTATCATACTCGCATCTACAACAGTGTCCACATCTTTGCCAAAGGCACTGAATTTTACCTTTTTTTATTACCTCGTGGCCAGCACTTCCTCAGTAGGCATTTCAGGTGTGTCACAAACCATTTTCATTTTAATTCTGAAAAAGTCAATCGTCTGTACTCTGTACTATAAAATGATGCCTGCAACTTTGTGGTGAATATTATCCCCAAGTTAACAGTGAAATAAGTAAATAAAACTATTATTGAACAAAGAGTGTGGTTTGCTTTTATTTAATCCAGGGTCTATAACGCGGCAGCAGCTCTTTATTGTATAAAAGGGTAGAATTCATTGAAAGGATAATTCTGAACAGACTGCTGTTTGCATTGACTTCTCTTTCTTTTTCACATGCAAAAGAACTTTCTCTGACAACCCTCGTAGTACTCCCATAATCCAAATACTTCCTGATCACGTGTTTGGAGGAGTATAGGCATGTTTGTAAGCTATAGCTACACACATAGTCTTTACTCTGAAAGTACATGTGAAGAAAAACATTTACTCAAGAGATCAAGACCGTCCTGGCCAACACGGTGAAACCCCGTCTCTACTAAACAATACAAAAATTAGCTGGGCATGGTGGTGTGCACCTGTAGTCCCAGC